AGCAGTCAAGCAGCGATTAGTGCAATGCACTCTGATCCCAGTGATACGCGTTCACTTGCTGTTCAACAACAGTTAAGAGTGATGTCTGAACTGATCCTGGGCACTCCCTCCACCAACCATCATGGCAAAGTATGGCCAAACCACCCCCATGACCGAAAGATTTGGAGGTCTTCATCCAGCAGTGGATTAATGGCAGTATATATCATATTGCATTCAAATTGTTTCACAGGCTCGTATGATGGGCGCTTTAGAGACACATCCGTTTTGATATGTGGGCCAGTGTTCCACCAACACCATGAACAAGGTTTTAATGAGACAGCAGCCGGCTCAGGCCAATGGGAAATCCGGCCCTGGCATATTATTCTCTCTCGGGTCACGATTGAGCCCAGGTGGAATTATCATCTTGGCAAGCAGAGAAGGCTTTGACTGGGCACTGTGCTTTCTGCTAGTCCTCTGAAGAGCTGGCAATCGATCATAGATAATCAAAGTCAGTCCCTAAGTCTTGACGGAAATTGACATTCGCACTTTGTTCCACAGATTCCTGCAGTTACCCGCCATTCACTACACTAATTGGTTAAATGTGTGGAGAAAAAAAACTGCTCTTTGTGTTGATGCTTGCACAATCTGCTGAAATTTCCTGGCAACCATTATTATATTAGTGCCTTTCATAAACATGAAAGGGACACATTCTTTGGGTCTTTCAGTAAAGCCAAGTAGATAGAAAAAATAATAACAATAATAACAATATCATGACGTTTCGACCACAACACAAGCAATCGTCTTCAGGTGAAAAAAGAGGGGGAAATCTGCCGAGGCAGGCTGCTTATAAATGTTTAGAGATGGGCGGGGCAGCTAATGTGAATGTGGGGGAGATCTCCGTAACCTAAAGTAGGTCTACACCAATCAAAGAGCTGTTTACAAAAGGTTTAGAGATGGGCGGGGCAGCTAATGTTAATGTGAGGGAGGTCTCCGTAACCTGAAGTAGATCTACACCAATCAAAGAGCTATTTACAAATGGTTTAGAGATGGGGGCGGGGCAGCTAATGTTAATATATAAGAGGTCTCCGTAACATGCAGTAGGTCTACACCAATCAAAGTGCTGTTTACAAATGGTTTAGAGATGGACGGGGCAGCTAATGCCAATGTGGGGGAGGTACTTCGGCGCTGTGTGGGGGTGGCCATTGTATTGTGAGAGATTAGCATGTCAATGTAAGACAGCGCAGTGGCCACATGGAGGTGGAACAGAATGGCAAGCCGCCATTTACTTACGCAGCTAACGGTGGATGTGTTAGTGAATGGACAGCGCTGTCCTACCAGACAGTCTCGCTCCCTTCACCTGATGAAGGCCGCTTGTGTTGTGGCCGAAACGTCGTGAGAATATTATTGTGTTATTTTATTTTATCAATTTATTATTTTATTCTCATTCTACGTGACTTTACCGAAAGAACCAAAGAAGATGAATCATTGCAGTCACGAAAGCTTTAAATCGAAATATATGGGTCGTTAAAACTCGCCACCACCCGAAACAGCCAACTAGTAAGGGTTGTCACATAAACAGAACATGCCAATTCGTCACTAGTACAGCACACCGGTGTGTTGGAGAGCCAAGCCACAACATTTACAATCCGAGTACGACGTTGCACCAGTAATTACAACGAGCTTCGCGAAAGCCTACGTGTTAAACGGATACTCACTAGATAGCAGCATATCTAACTTATTAAACCAGCCACTGATACGTCCGTGATGGCCTTCATGCTTTGAGAACGGTGTGAATACCAAATGTGCACCCGGCATGCAAAACAAGTACAAATGCTTTTTTTCATTTCAGTTAAAGAACAGTGTCCAGAAAACTCCCAAGTCAAAATCATTACGTCATTGAAAACCGCATATAAAAACATAATTTCCACTGTGATCACCTTAACATTAATAACACATCTCAACATAATGACCACCGTTAAAAATAAACAGTTCGAAGATGATCACCTAGTGGGCAGTGCACCGTTAACCAAGCCAGTCTGCATGGAGCTGGCATTGAGATTCATGCAGCCACCTCAACAGTGTTGATGGCAGCAACAACCTGGAATAGACTGCATCGTGCCACGTGATGTAACGTGATGTAACGGTGGTGCAATGCCGTTCACCATGCCAGGAATGTGTACCAGTCACAACCAAGACTGTAGTCCACATGCATACATTACAACTAAAGCAATAGCAAATAACACATAATTTAGTAATTATGGTCTAGTGCCCACTTAAAATGAATATTGACCCTCACCAGGATAAAGGACATTCCATAACTAAGCATCATTCTCTATTTATTGCTATGGAAAATGGCGATGTGCATCATGTTTGCGAGATAAAAAAAAAATCTGCACCGCTCGATAAGACTCTACGCAGTATGGTGTAGAAAGTGGTTCATCATTAATGTCACATTGACAATTACGGAGGCTGCATAGCCCATCACAAGCCCTCCTCGCCCGGTGATTGTCCGTACGGCATGCCACATTTAACTGATAAATTATTCAACCTTTAAGCTGGAGCAGTGTGCTGTGTCACCCAACCACTGAGAGTGCGGCTCATTTTTCTGCCAGACACACATCAGTCTAGGTGACTCGCATGATACTGTGCGTGTGTGCCGTGACCAGCGGCATCCTCATCCAACATTACCAAATAACCTACGAACAAGTAACATTGAAGATTAACATTGTCTATAAATACCTATTTAAGTGTTTAGATATGACAGTTATTTTAAGGGTTATAAAAAGCCCATCTGTCTATTTCTCTTTATAAAGCATATATGCCGACTGCTCTTGAAATAAGCTTGAGATTAGGTTGTATTTAGATTATATGAAAGACCAATGTGTATTGTTGTATGTGTGATGTACATTACCAGACGGGCGAGGCAGTTTGAGCACAAAGTCTGTGCCAACAAGCCTTTGAGGACGCAGTATATATGTGTGCATAGAGACGCAATTTTAGTGGTATATATGTGCATAGAGAGACACAATTTTAGTGGTATATATGTTCATAGAGAGACACAATTTTAGTCATATGTGCATATAGACACAATTTTAGTGGTATATATGTGCATAGAGAGACGCAATTTTAGTCATATGTGCATATAGACACAATTTTAGTAGTATATTTGTGCATGTAGAGACACAATTTTAGTCGTATATATGTGCACATAGAGACAATTTTAGTAGTATATGTGCATATAGAGACACAATTTTAGTCGTATATATGTGCATATAGAGACAATTTTAGTCGTATATATGTGCATATAGAGCCAATTTTAGTAGTATGTGCATATAGAGACACAATTTTAGTCGTATATATGTCCATATAGAGACACAATTTTAGCCGTATATGTGCATATAGAGACACAATTTTAGTCGTATATATGTGCATAGAGACACAATTTTAGTCATATATAACAGCACAAAGTCCAAGGGCCAGATTCTGTTATTGACAAATGTAAATTTCCGTCAGTTTATGTAAAAATGTTCCGAGGTCTCTGTATCAATAGCTGGCCAAATCGATGAAGTGTTGCAGCCAATTTGTCAAGGTGGGAATCTGGCCCAAAGTGTTTCCATGTTAAAGTGTTTGCGATGGGCAGCAGCGCTCATTTCTGTTGACAGTGTGCAGCCAGTGATGGATATTTCAACGAGCGTAAAGTGGAACAGTTCATCCATAGGCTAACAATTTCTGACTTCCTACCAACTAGCATTAACAAGGTGCTATTCATTTTCATGACCTCACAGGGATTGTGAGGCTGTCACTCATGATCGGGATTTAAACTCGTGTCGCGATTAAAAGCTTGTCGCTCTCCGTGCCAAGTTTTAATTCTACAAATGTGCACTACTTATATCAAAATTAAAGTCACGGGCAAACATGAAAAAGCCGGTATTTGAGACAAGTCAACATGTACGTCACTGCTTCTGTATAATGTAACTCTACACAAATTGCCTTCATACAAAGTGGTAAATGTAGTTTTCAGAATGACAGTCAACAATCCTGAATAGCTCACAACGGAATGAATATATAAAGATTTAACAAGAGCTGCATGAAAAAAAATCACCTCTACTACTGATCATTCTAATGATGTTGCTTGGATTGTTCCACAGTGGTAGAGAGGCTTTTGGATGCATGGAGGGGTCTAAAGGCATGCCGGGAGAGAGTCTTGAAGTCAGGCTGAGGACACGGTAGACACGCAGTCAGCCAGGGGGGCCACACATTGGCATGGGGAGACATGCACAGGCTACCTAGGACGCCGTTAGACAAGCGAAGGCGTGGGGAGAGAAGCGGGCACACAAAGACATATAAGCCGGGACAAAGGGAGACACCTTAGAAATGCTTAATTCCAACGTACATCCACCCACTGCCACATTGCTGACACAACATGCTCAATGCTGTTGAACCCAGCACAATTTTAAATATAAGTGCCAACGTGCACCAGATAGTGAGTTGTATTTAAGTGCAATCACAGAGGAGTACAATTAGTCCGCCACTTTTTGTTCCGGCCACAAAGCACGCACAGGGTCAGCTGAGCGGCGCACACGAGCAAGACACGCGTAGCAGCAATAATCGGAATCAGCTGTGCGTGCGCAGTGAGGCGGTGGCATTGCGGTTAACACACACCGCTCCACAGTCACAGTGACCAAGGTTCACTGCTGACCATGTCCAACATCGGTGGCAGTTGGTATATGAATTTAGCCTGTGGCCTCTCTTTGGTTGAATTAGCCTGCAACCAGGTACCCTGCTGCGTGGTGCGGTCAACTCCAGTGCTGGGGGAAATATTGGCGTTGGTCAAACCTAAACTAAACTATTGCTTTAACTTAACCACGTAAGGCCCACCGAGGTATGTAGCTGGCCACAAATCACAGCACAACGAAATGGATTATCACGTGGAAACTTATAGCAGCCAAATACTCTATAAACGCGTGATGTTTCTAAATGTGGGGAGGAAAAAACTGGAGGAACCGGAGAAAAATCCACGTCACCACGGGGAGAGACACGCAAACTCCAAATATACAGGTATCTGGGTCAGGATCGAATCCACGACCTCTTGCATACCAGGCGAGGTAGTTAACATCTCGCCACCGTGGCACCTGGTTGTGCATCATGTTAGCTGTAGTAACAGGCGCTTCTTAATGGCACTTGCCCTGGCAGTGTAAACAGGAGATAGTTTCTACTTGTGCAATGCATATCATCCTATTGTCACTTCCACACAATCTGTTTGAATAATAAAAGAATACCCCTTGCAATTGTAAAATGTATTTACAGATTAATTTACAGAGTGTTTACAATTGCAAATGGCTGTGCGTAGTGCACAGCAAAGCTGGTTTGCTATGAATATTCAGTCACTGTGAATCAGTGCACACGTTATTTAGTCTGTGTGCAGAGGCAAGTTTAAACAAGCGGTTCTGTTATAGTGGTTTTAAGGCATTGCATGTGTGTATCCAGGCTCTTTAAGATACACACACGAACTTAATGGGATAATTGCGGATTTAGCTGTCGATAGTGTACCCAACGTCTGTAACATCTCTCCATAGCATGGACGTTCTGATCTAAGTGGAAGCATAAAACTACATAACATCACCTCCACGATAACACACTACACACTTATGAAAAACATTTTTTACCATTCAAGCTTTCCATTTTTATGCTCACGGGCACCCTCTGGGACGGACAGAGCATGAGTTCACATTTGCACGTCGTTCTGGAATTCCATTGGCTTTAGCTGTGGCATGCCGAGTTTAATAGTGCCATTTATTTATCAAGAAATCCTCGATAAGCGCCATGCATCAAGATTACCAAATAAGAGGCAATATTTTTTCCATCGTTGGCAGGCTCAGTTAATTGGCTCCTAAACCGATCATACTGGATTAAGTAATTAAAATTAATCGATGAATATAAGTGGCTCTTAGCCAAAAGGGTCTTATCCACTTGGCCAAAGTGTGTTGTGTACTTTGACCTCATCCTCCCATTGGATGATTCTTAAAATAGGTGCAACTGGCTGCTTCTGTAAATGACATCATTATGAAAATAAAAAAAACATTTCATCCACAAACCTCCAGGTATTCCTGATAGTTGCTGCCCAGAAGCATTTGTTTAAATATAAAAAACAATGATGGGCTATGACTTCACTGAGGCTCATTAGTAACAGTGTGGGCTATAAAACGAATGCTATCGAGCCCCTGGATGTTATTGCCATCTATGAGCAATGGTTGCTCATTCTACCACGGGATAAAATAGATCCAATCCATGATGACACCTTAAAACATTACAATCACTTCCCTGTTGGCTACATGTGGGACACATAACACGGTTGACAATTCATTCACAACATCAAGGCTATAAAAGCTATGTTAAGCCGGATTGACATATACAGTTTGCATCCGTCAACAAAAAAAAACCCCTTAAAATTGAATGTATATACAGGATAATCATAATAACCCCTAGGGCAGAGAATGGGCATTTCATTTAAAGTTAGTTTACTGTGTATTAGTTACAAGGCAGTTTAGTAATGAGAATAGTTGTAAACTATATGCAGTCTACCAGCTTCTAAGCCACTGCCAACAGAGTCGTTGGCACGAAGAGCAGTGAGGTCAAATAGCTGCGGTGCACATTTGACCCTTGGTAGGGATGTTTCAACACAGCAGTGTACAAGTTTGCCTTCCTGAAAATTGGGGCTGCTCCATCGCAACGGCCCATTCTAAGCCCTAAACCTCATGATTAAAAAGTGTAAACAACATCTTATTTCACTTGAGCCTATTTCATAAATAACTAACATACAAGTAATACAAAAATCATGCATATTTTAAGAGAATGTAGGCTAAAACTACTGACTTAACCTTATACGCATGACCCAGACGTGGCAGGGGGGCTCAGAAGTCTAATATCAATGTTACACAGTCGTGCCAAACTTGACACTACAGAGATCTTAAACCTGGTCGCCACGTAACAATCTTTACAAACCTACAACAGTGATGATGATTATTTCAATTGGTCTCTGAAGTCACTCCCTGAATGAGCTAAGAGCGTTTTGTTTCAAAGCGTACAATTGTTTTACATGATACCAGCACAACAAAAGCATAGTAAAGCATAGCCTGGTGAATAGACCAATCAGTGATGACAATGACATCATTGCTTGATTGATGTCTCGCACCTAGCAATGCAATCAGTCCACTGGGAAATTACCCAACGCTTCTCTCCGCTTCCCAAGACACTGTCACCAAAGTTCAGAGTGAACCACTGGTTTCAATACACAGCAATTTAAGCTAGAATCTCTGTGTGTCGCTCTGTAAATTTTGCAGCGCGGACCAGTAATTAGGTTTTAAATCCACACCTTCCATCCATGAGGCTCTCACGGACTGTGACTTTGGTCATCTTGACCATCGTGTACACACGTAATAACACCGTTTCATTTGAGCGCACCGCCCAAAGCACAGCTGACAAAATAAAGAGTGCAAATCCAGTACTCCCGTAAGCTATGCCTATGGGCAAATGTTAGCCAAGGGTTTACATCTCACAGACAGGTCATCAATTCCACAATGCGACACATTGTGGAATGCACACATTGTGCTTATGCAGGGAGAATCAATATACACAATATAAGAAACTGTTCAAATATGTAAATATAAACCTCAAAAGCTTTGTCATTAACACTGCCGTATTGCAGAAAAATATACGTTCAGGCCAGCATTTCAGGCAATCATCTTTCGTCAGTACGGCGAGAGAGTGACAGTGACCGATTAAAACTATATGAACAAATTAATAAGCAATAAACAGGCAAGAGTAAAAATAACTTAACATTCTAGTCCATCAACCGATGGGTCTTGAGGACCAACGTCATGCCACAGGGGACGCTTAGGCAGCCACGCTCAAGGCCGGCTTCGACTCTCACGCTCTCATCAGTCGGCCCCGTTGAAGAAATGTTGAGCATACAACTTAACGTGCAAGCGATAAAAGACATTCTTTGGTGACGAACTGCATTGGCGGTGATGCACAAGCACAAACAACAAAAAAGCTCAACACGTTTGTCGCCTTGAAAGGCGATGTACGAGGTGACATTTCGTGCAATGGCCCTTCCTCATATCACCTGACGTGCTATATTGTTCCTCTTTGGGCAGTGTTAACGATGCGTGTGTGGCAGTGGTCCATTGTTTATACACGACGAGAGGTGTAAGGCAGCGAAACGACGAGGCTTCATTTGCTCGTGCCGAGTACACAACCGTCAATGCAGTCCCTTCTTTCGTACTCACCAGTGTCACTTATGCCCCCCCTGTGCCGTTTCCGTCCCGTTGTGATAAAGATTAATTGAGTGGAACATTAAAAAAATGATACCGTCCATTATTCGAGCTTAATATATATGTAAAAATAACCCACCCCACCACATTTATTCCCTTGCCAAGAACGAGCCCTGGGTGGCACGGTAATCGAAGCTTTTCACACTCACAAGACCAGGTCGGAGGACAGCCAGAGCATGAGCAGAGGCTGCATGGCCGCGATGGCCACGGTGAGGTACATGCGCAGGCGGCCGGCGGAGACGCTCTGCGCCCTACCCGCCACGTCCATGTCCGGCAGGATCTTCAGCCTCATCGTCTGAATCTGCGCGGCATTGGCAAAAGAAACGGGGAAACACAAGGTGGACCGTGACTGGCAGTGGGACGCTAAAATTATTGCGGCGCACGTGCAGGATGGAGGAGAGCAGGTTACCACCAAGTCAGACATTTGATCAGTTACCCAGAGGTCGTGTACATGACCAAATCAGAGCGTAAGACCGAACCATCTGGAATGCACTTGATAGCAGACGGAACACTTTGGCGATAAAACATTTACCTGCCAACTGGAAAGCATTTCATTATCGAATGCATTACTTATAAAGTTCTGGAAGGACTGTGTGATGTTTAAAAACGCCATGCGGAGTGTGTAACTCGACCTACAAGATATTGCCATTGTGCTGTGCGCTGGCTGTCAAGGTCAAACATTGGGAATTATAATTCTGAAAAAAAAAACATGTTCTGTTGAAGCTGAGTATTAACTTAAATACAACGTCAGCAATTTTCAGTGGCCACATCTGCTGTACGTACGTTTGAAGCAATGCAGGCAGGCGCACCGTGTGACAGGCCACCTAGCAAGCAGCACCACGTACATCTATGGATATCAGCGACAGACGAATGACACACCCGAAGAGAGTGAACAACGATATGCTTTGTGCTTTGAATGCGGTCGCTACCGGATGCGTACTTACCATGAACAAAAGAAATGCACAGGAATTCCATAAGAGGGCCACGTAGTAGCCACAACGTCCCAGCAGCAGGCCAGCCAGCACGCTAAGCACAATCCTGGGACAAACATACACCCACCATGACACGCAATTAAACACAAGACACCCAAACGTATTAACAGCACTATCATCAGTATCATCACACACGCGTAACACTAGGACTGAAGACGTACAAAAAATGCAATGAAATGCATTATCAGCAGTGTTATGTCCATGATTGTCAGTAACCAACAGATATATTTAAGCGAGATACTGAACCAAGAGACAGCTCCCTTAATCCAACCTTCATCCTCACAATGAAAGGTGGACAATGTCCTGGACAAGAAGTTATCAGGAAGCGGCAACTTCAAGGGGTTCTGATAGAGAAGGGCATGCCATCCAGCAGACGAGCAGCAACTTTGCCCGCAATGCGCCCGATGCTTCCGCTCAGGGGGCTGGGGCCTCTCATCCCCACGACAGTGCGGGAAACGCCACTCGCGGGGGTTCGCCGCGGCCATCATCGTTCGCGACGGACACCCGAAGAAGAAGTACAACCATTGAGGGTGTGGCCGGTGGCATCCCCTAGAGGGAGCCCATTGGACACTTGTTGTGGAGGTTCACAGTAGAAATGTTAATAACCACGAGAACGCGGCATGCCGTCAGCTTCGCAGTGGACGTGTATAGATCCCCCTGGCCTCACTTGGAAGAGCAGATCGTTTGTGTGCCGGCGTCAGGGCCTAAATTTTCCAAATTCGAAGGTAACCCGAAAATTACTCAATTGGGTTAATACATAACGATCACCGCCCCCTACTGGCAAGACTAATGGCCCAGGTAAATCTCGCTAAATTAGACTATTCTGGTTTCTTGAATTCTTACCTGGCCAAACAAAATAAACTTGAAATGTTGAATAGGAGCCATGTGGTTTGAGTGCTTGATTCCCAAACAGACACTGTAACTGGATGGTTACGAATTTTTCTCGAGCAAAGTGATGTGCTCTTAGCCTGTGAAAAGCAATATTGTGCATGCAAATGTGTATCATAATATTATGTTAATAAGCTGGCCCCTGCCAGAGCAATGTAGAACCTACACCACCTGCTCAGGGCTGCCCCACGCTTGTTTGAGCATCTGTGAAAAAGAGCTTTACGGCTCATCGGATTCCTTCCAAAATAAATAAATATTCTCATTCCGAGCAGACAAGCACACTGTGTCTTTCATTTCACATTTCAATGAACACGGACAGCGTAATCTTAAAAGAGCGTTGAGAGGATTCGCATTCAACACGAGCATTACTGGAGAGTGTAAGTGGCCGGGTGAACCAGGGGTCAGAGCATAGAGAGCCGGCACATCGCCGATTTCCTCGGCTGGAATGTCCCAGGGTCGGTGCGCGCCACAATGCCCTCCCTAGTTTTGCATAAGCACTTCTTGATATCTGCGTTTCATCCAAACATCAAACGGTCCTCAAGAGGCCACCCCCCTTTTCCAACTTGTCTTCCCCTGGCAAAAGCTCACCGTCAAGTTTGATGGAAAAGGTTATCTTCCTCTTTGTTTTATAGCAAGTGGAAGGAGGGCAGAATTGATTTAGCCAAGGATTTGGTCCACTCGGACAGGAATATTGATACTTTTGAAATGAACAAAAAGCCTAACATTTATCAATTTATTTTTTATAAATAAAAAATACTTACAAATCAGGAGTGCACTGACTTCAGCCCAGTTTTGACATTTCTTACGTGAACAACCACATCTATAAATCTTGACTTAAAGCTTCCGTGACTGTAGTTTTGTAAACCCTCTGATAGAAACACAATCTTACACATGTACACAATACTCCAAGCTTCCCAGGATAAGCACAGTACCCAAAACTACACTATAATAACTTTGAGAGGAGAGTGTGGGTGAACCTTCAGAGTGGATGGAAACCTGGAATGCACTTGGCACCTCAGATCTAAATCAGCTTCTCTGAAATGAACACAATTTACATTTTTGTGCACTTTTTTGTGATACAAAAAGACCCAAATGTGTACAAGGGCATTCCCCTGACAGTCCACGCTGCCCCCTCCTCCACAGCTCTATTCAGACAAGCATCCACGCTTCCTGGTCAGGCCCAGTGACACAACACTTATACATCCCGCACCTCCGATTAGCACGGTTGGCTACGTACAGTGCGAAAGAAGTTCAACATAGATCTCATACGTTTTCGGCCACTTGAATGCAACTTGCCGTAACTTTATCACTTGAGCACTAAAATCATCCTTTGTTGGCTATCACTAAACCACAATTGATGCTTTTTCCAAATTGTATGCACTGCTCATAAATTATGTACATTGGAATTGATTGGAAGGAGCATGGTTTTTCATCACGCTAGCATGTCTATCACGGCTACAGTGGTATACCCTGGGTCGATTGTTGAGCCTTACGGAACATATTTTTCACCGCACAGGGTCCACCTCTACCCCTTGTTTGACTGCCACATAATGAACATCTCTACAGCAGGGTGCAGAGACCACTGCAGAGCCCCACTCACTCCACTCGAGGCATCAAGAAGGGATCTCAGAAAGTAGTTTTAATACATCACAATCCGCAGGCCCTTCTCTACAACGGGGTTAATATGCGCCTCTGTGAAAGTTCCACGTTGACACATCTCAAGACATGTATGCATGTTGAACGTCTTTCGCACCGTACGTAGCCAACCGCGCTAATCAGAGATTCAAGGGAAGTACAACAAACTAAACACAAAAAGCGGTTTTAAAGAAATTAGCTTTCCAATCTAGATTTACAGGGGCATAGCTCCAGTGGCTTCCAAATATATATCGGAAGAGCACTCAAGACGGCCGCAAAAGCTTATCTGAAAGCGCGCGGGTCTTTGTTAGATGGCCAGTTAAAAACCGCTGCCGCGAGGATGACCGGAGTTTCGTGTGGTGGTCTTGCTCCTTGGTTTACGCTCCTTGACGTGACACCGATAGCATGCGATCGCAATAACGTTAGGAAAGGGGACCGCAACGGAGGCGTGTTAACCCTGCCGAGAGGTGCGACTCACCCGACGTACTTGTAGCCCGCGTATGCCACGATCTCGGGGATGTCCATGGGCACGCGCAGAGCGGCCAGGTAGAGCCCCAGGGTGATGAGAAGCACCTCCACCAAGAGCCACGTCAAAGCCATGTTGGTGCGCGTCCAAAGTACGTCGGGGCAAAACCTGCACACGTTTGCAGCGCGCGGCGGAGGAGGGTGGCGCGCGTGTGCAACGGTGCGTCGATTTAGGGGGTTCCAAATCGATTCTAAAACACTGGATAACTGCATCGAATCACAATTGTGGACATTGATTATGTAATGTTTGTGCAATATCGTTTTCATCATTTTAATTAAGGAAAATGGGGGAAAATTAATCAAGACAGAATATACAAATCATACACTCTAAATGAGTCAGACGTTACTAACAAGACAGTGTGTGTATACAGGGCAGGTACCAAAACACTTGGATTGCAGCATGAGGATGCTTTCTTCCAGATATTTTGACACGTAAAGTTGAGCTATCTACCTCTGCGACACTTGCCGGCAGTTATAGTGCACATACCACAGCTGAACAAGCCTTGCGGAAGTCCCACCGCACGGCGATGTGAAAATGCTTTGGTGTAAAAAAAAAAAGTCAAAAGCAGGCAAGCCCCAGTGCACAGTGAGGGGGGGGGGATTTCTCGTGGCATTTATGGCACTGAGAGTGCAGCAGCAGCGCAGTGATCCATTGCATTGCACTGCGAACCCCGCGATTTGGGTTTGATACCCGGCCGCGGCTAACATCAGCGGCGAGCGATGATCTGAACCGGTTATAGCCCCCCCCCCTCCCCTCCACTTTAGCCACCTACACGAACCCCCATGACCAACGCAGCATGGGGATGTCTTTATCCAGCAGTAGACTGACAAAGGGCTGTACATTTAATAACAATAATTGCCCTCTTGCTGTCAGCCCAGCACGAATGACACAAAGGGCATCCTGCAAAGCTCCAGGGGACAGCTGTCGTTTCTTCTTCTTCTTCTTCTTCTTCTTCATTTTGGCTCCTGCTTTTATAGGTCATATTTAATAGGTGTAATAAATTCACGACAGCTTCTGGGCACAAACAGGAGTGGACATTGCCACCCTCATATGTCTAATTGTTTTAGCCTGGCACGTTCATTTAACTCTAGTTAACACTAGCTTTGCTGATATTTGTCAATGTTTCCCACATAGCAAAGAAGTTGCTTACATATTCTTGGTTCTTTCGGTAAAGTCACGTAGAAGGGAAACAATAAAATAATAAAAATATAAAACAATAAAATTCTCACGACGTTTCGACTGTTATTTTATTGTTTCCCTTTTTAAAATTATTTTATTGTTTCCCTTCTACGTGACTTTACCGAAAGAACCAAGAATAAGAACCCCTGCAGTAACGAAAGCTTTAAATCAAAATGTAAGTTGCTTTACTTAAAGTGACATTGACCTTGGTCATTGGATCCAGAGTGAAGCCTGGTTAGTAGTCGCATGACTGACTGCCCAAGAGTAACAGGTGTTATAGGCTGGGGCTGTGAGATTGCCAGAAAATGGAAAAAGAGAAAAAAAAACTCCCAAAGCTCTTTCCGCAGAGGTTTGAGTTCTGTCTCCCCGTCCGTCTTGAGTTTTTATCAAGGCAAGCTGGCTTCCTCCCACAAACCAAGCCACTCTTTGCTGGAATTGGCCAAACATTGCAATGCAAGAGTGTAATTATCATTAAAACCCAGCCAGACCGTGAGAGCAAATGTGAGAGTTGTTGGGTAGGAATGATAATTGTTGCAATAAAAAATAATAATAGAAAAAACTGGAAGTGTGAAAATGTCAAAGCAGTTTTAATTAATAAAATACGGATATTCAAAAAGTAAGGATTTTAAAGTACCCTAGATTCACAGGCGGAGCACGCAGTGGAAAAGCATTTGTGGGCCTGTAATAACAATAATATTTCTATTTTTGGTTCTTTCGGTAAAGTCACGTAGAAGAAAGAACCAAGAATATGAATCCCTGCAGTCACGAAAGCTTTAAATTAAAAAAAAAACATATTTCTAATTGCTGCTGAGGTACGAATGCGTGAAATTGAGCAATATGAATTGAAGTGCCAATCCAACTTTAGAAAAATGAGGCTACTGCCTCGCGTAAAACAGTTCTTTACATTACGGTCTTGACAAGGCAGGGTTGGCAGCTGCAGGGTGGTGGCGCAGTGGTAACACTTGTGCCTCGTAGCAATAAGTTGGCAGGGTTCGATTCCTGAATTATAGCATGAAACTCCCACGCGGCCTAACCCAGAAACAAACACGAATCGTTGGGTTTGGCCACGAAAACCAACGCCACTAGTTTTCTGCGCGGAGTTTGTATGTTTAACGCGAGTTTCCTCTGGGAATCTCTGGTTTCCTCCCACAGCTGAAAAAAACCACAACCGTGCAAATTGTAACAAGCAATAGCCTTAAAACCCAACGCTGAAAATTTACCTTCAAATTACTTAATTTGGATTAGACACAAACATTGCCAGTTACTGCGAACACTTGGCAGAACCCTTCTGAAAATTAGTCTTTAAACTCAGCGAGGCATTCCTGGGTGAACAAGTATCATAAATAATAATAACTCACGGAAACAAATTACAATAACAACACTCACAGAAAGAAAAAAAAAGAAAAACTAACTCACTTTTAAAAATGTGTGAAAAACCAAAAACGATTGGCCAGTGTCCGATGCGTTTGGCAGGCGTAGCCAACAGGCTTTAGCATTCACCGAATTCCAAACCATCCGTCATTAGCCGTATAGGCCGCGGCTGACGACGTAGCTCAGTCGAATATCGCCGCGCACGCGTGGACTCAGCGGTGGACATCCGGGCAGATAGGTTAACGTGCGAGCAATCCTTATTCAACTTTGCAGACACGCTCAAGAGAATCTGTCACTAATTAGAGCGGCAAGGCCATTAATTCAAATTAGGTTCTCCCGCTTGTTATTTTCAAATGTTTTTCAACCGATGGGGAAAAAAAAGTGACGCTGCTAAATAACAGCAAATGCTAATTTTCTAAGTGGGCTCTGAACAAAGCCATCAATTAGCACTGTATCACAAAAGGACACAAAATGTTCACAGGGCTTTTAAGCTAAAGCAAATTGTTTATTCAGCTTACTGCTACACTGTAATATCATTCATAATGCATAGCCCTTTATCAATTCTTGTAGATGAAGGGCCTTCCCATGCCGTGTTGGTTATGAAGTAAGCTTGAACATACTTCACCGTGCCGGTCAGTGCAGGTTAGTCACATGCCACTGACGTCAGCTGTGACCAGGAATCAAACTCAGGCTGCTGGGTTCATAGCACACTGCGTGACCCACTGCACCACGGCATGTACAGACTGCTATATGCAATGGAAGCTGGATATAGGCTCACCTTAAAAAGCAGCTCTGATAAGCAACACTTTCTTGCATTACACTGGTGGAAGGCAATAGGGGAAAACTTCTGATACATGATAAGTACACGCCGGCACTTAGCATTCTCGCAAAATAACAAAGGCTCTAGATATTACAGAGCTTTTAAAATAGCAGGGACGACCCACGCGGAGAGGCTGCCGGACTGAAGAATGCATGAAGCAAGGCGGCTGGCACACAAAGTAAAACGAATCGCAAGGAGAGACGACAAGTATTGCGGACACCTCCGGCAAGCTCTCGCATGTGCAAAGCAGGGCGTACGCGATGCGGAGACGCGTATGTACGCGGCCAATTGAGCACGACGGGCTTATCACGTTGCCGGTGCCTGCCCAGGAATTCCGATTTTATAAAAAAAAATTGGGGGGGGTAGGGGCAGGGGAGGTGGCTGCAGATCGTTGGTTTTTTCTGCAAGAACAGCCGTTTTTTGTGGATAGATTATTCCGCTTGGGGCTGTAAGTAAAACACAAGCAATCTGTTTCCCCCTCGCCCCGCGCCATCCTTCCCCTCGCACCCCCTTTTGCACCTTCCTCATTAATAAAACACTTGGGGCGAGGTAGGGGGCAAGGAGGAGGGATGGCAGAGTGGGGAAACGCGAACACTGCACCCCCCCCCCCGCCCCCCCAAACCCAATTCCCCCCCTGCTCTTTGACCGGAGCGACTGCTGACGGTGGCGTTGCGATCGTACCTGTCCTGCGTCCCGTAGACGAGGCCCGCTTCCAGGACGTAGGTCAGAAAGGCCATGGCTGTCAAGGAGGCATTATTAATAAAGAATCAGCTTGGCGGGTACACAACCAATGAGTTGTATATCAAAATACAGTTTTAGCGGTAACCGCTTCCCCCGCCTCCTCAACACGTTACAGCTCAACACTGCCGCTCGAGGTGTCGTCTTGGCTGAGAAACTACCGTGAAACACACACACCAGGCTCGTAAATTTTCTGAACAAAGGGGCACATTCATTGAACTTGATTAATCATATGCAGTATACACAAGGCATACGGCCATGTATATAACATTTTTGGAGACCAGTTGAGGCGTTTCAGTTGCAAGAAAGGTCAATATCAAAACGCAGAAATTTCCGTCATCTGATGTACAGCTGTACTTTTTTAAGCTTTGCTTGGAAAAAAATCTGGAGCTAAACGAAATAACACGCCATCTGAAGATGACTCTAAAAAAAACACACTTTGAGAACGAACGTTTTTTTTCCCCACTCATAAAGGCAATTTTATATTAAACCAACATTTTTCTTAAAGAATGCCTACTGCATTCACCATACTGCTTGCTTATTAGATGCGACGCAATTTCATCAGAATGCCCAGTGACAAGGCCATAGGCACCTGGGGAGAAAGTACTCCAACGTGAGGCATGTGCTTAGATTAAAATATCAATAAAAGATATAATAAAAACGACCCACTTCATTCCATTGCAGAATTCATAACAGTATAAATACATTCAATGCCTTTCCACGATTCATCAAAGCTCCCGTGGCATTCGAGTGCAAGTCACTCAAAATAACATTCACATTATCAACGTGTGTTAAATCCACCTTAAAATGTCACAAATGCATCATGTCAGGTCAAAACACAGGCCGACAAAAAGTAGTTGACCACACCGACTTTGACACACTTTTGTAGAATAAAAAGGCAAACAATATCTCAGTTGAGTCTTTAGTTTTTCAAAACGCACTTTTTTTTTTTAAATGTCCAAAAAATGTAACTGACAAAATTTGTGCCGAACAGATGACCCTATATCAGACTAACGTTGGCCTATTGTACCATTTTGTAATTATACACATTTGGTGCAAAAACAGTGGACATATCCACAATATTCAACCACATCCATCACTGTCTTTATTATAATTTTCTTCACCTCCATCATTACCACATTTCACTATGCATATCGGATTGACTTTTGAACCTGTCCACATGACGTTTTCCTCTGATCCACACTCGCTGATAAGAGGAATGCAGATCCAGAGGTATTGTGAAAAAGATTTGGGGATCAGCCAATCCCCACAAATACTGTACAAGGAACCACCAATAAGAGTATATAGATAAGAAGAGTGTTACCATACAGTGCACGCATTTTACAATACTGCACAACGCTGCCATATAGCTCTCTGACGTGTTTTCGGGTTGTACCACGTGTTTTTCCGTTTCATGTCAAACATCTTGCTCCACGTACTAGGCGCTTCAGTTCATGATGAAGCTCCCAGCAAGTTGCGTGAAACGTCGGACATCATGGCTGTACTACACGCGGTACAATCTAAAAACACGTTAGAGCTATACAGCACAACCGCAAAAACCTACATCGTGGTGTAACTCCACAAAATGCAGTGAAAGGTGGTGGGGATCAGGTACATGGCTGTGTTTGATGTACAATGATCAAAATCTTAGAGCTGTGGAACTGCTTCTGATAAAGTGAAAGTAAAAAAAAGCGTCAGTCTATTATTTAACCACTTGAAATAACATTTCATCTGTAGGCTAATGTCCTACCTGATTGATGCTTTGTAAACAACTCAAATTCGTAATTTATCCCCTGCATGTCAGTTATTGCTTTGCTATAGTTTTGGCCAAAGGGGGAGTATTTTTTAACTCAAGGCAACTGAACAAGGCCTTCTATTATTCAAGCCTCCATACTACAAATCAATCAGTGACCTTTACTGAAACCAGGTGACAGCCCATTGAGACGAAACATTTTCTCTGCAACGAAGACTTGGGGGTGGGTATATAACCCAACAGCACGTCCGACTCTCCAATGTGCTTTCAGGTCATTACCGCGTGTCGTTCGGCACGACGTCCGACGTTTCGCTCCACGTGCCGCTGGGAGCTTCCATAGCAAAATTCAGTTGCCGAACAAGCACGTGGACTGAAACATTGGGCATCATGCCGAGAGCCAAGCGGCACAATCACAACATCCTACACGGAAGTTAAGTATGCTCACCGCTCAACTGGTACGCCGTTGAAGGTGATATAAAATGACCCTGTGGTGTCATTAGCAAAGGGAGAGCAATACACATGGGAATCAATACCCAAATCCCAAATGTGATTGCAGAGGGCCCCAAAGCAAAGCGTAAAAATATCTTGTCTCTATATAAAATATATTTACTGGAGTGACCACGGCAAAATAAAACAGTGAATTCTCATTTGGCTGTCACCTGGTTAAATAAAGAACAATGCACTGCACAGAATATATTACGGTATTTCATCTTCAAAATGCACAGCAGCGATGCAATATCTCACTCGTGGTGTGTGGTCATGATGACGGTATTAGGTCACATGCCGCTGCACTCGTGCATTACAGTGGCTGCATTAATATGACGTAAAGTACTGCGGTAAATAACGGGACATATCGGCAAAATAAATCACGGCTGAAGCAGTGCGTTTCATTTCATTAAACCCAGAAATATCATTATGCATGAGCACAAGTGTGTTTACATGTTCAGAATATCAAAACCAGCACTTAAAGCAAAGAATAGCGAGGTCAATTTGTGGCTCAGAGAACCAATACTTTTGTAGTGCGTAAGACCACTGAGCCAATACCACTGAGATTCTAAAATTCAAATTTAAAGTACTCATAAAAACAGGTTTTCGTGTGAAATATATTTGCGAGTGATTTCCCAGTCACCTATGTAGGCACCAAAACAATCCTCCATGAAAATTACTTTTGAATTTCATTTGGGTCATACCTTGAAATTATTTGCCATATAGTCATGGAGTGAACTACACATCTATTTGCAGAGCTGAGATCCTGAATTCCAATCCCAGGCTCAACCTGAATGCGGATGTTATCTGTTTACTAAATAGCTGAGTCTGCATTTCCATGACCACTTCATCTATCACTGCACGGAGTGCCGAGCCCTTACCACACTGCTCCAAAAAACAACCATTGGCCCAGACTGTAACACACGGTCTGGAATTCCACATGAACAATATGTATACGGGGCCTCAGCCCGTCCTCCTCTGTACCTCTCAACACTGTTTAGCCATACACCCACCCCTACCCCACACGCAGCATGGTGACCAAAGCCAGAAAGGGCACACCTTCGCTGGACAGAGAATCCAAGTGAGGGCAGGTGGTTCAGCGAATTCCATGACTCCCGTGTTGGCCTGGTTATGCCACGCCAGCACACTCTTAACACGTGTGGTCTCAGACACCCTGTTGGTTCTACTACAGTATGAAGCCAGGGGAATGACGGAACGCAGTGCCGTGCCAGCCCAGCCAGGCTTTGGAACGCTTTGGATACGAGGCACGAGAGTGCTAGAGATGGTACTCTTCAGCCCATTAAGATAATGAGTTTGTTCCTGAATGCAGCCCAATCCTGTGCAATGAAATAACTGGGGCAGGACAGTTTTATTGCAGTGAATTCAAATTTAAAGTTATTGTTTAGCCAGGTGAGCACTCCAATAGGCAAAGATTAGTCTCTTTCGCAAGCGTGGCCAGGGTAAATAACGGGCAATGGTAAATGGGCAGAGGCTATCAGATATTAGCGCATCATCGAGGCACATCACGTACTTTACATGGAGTCGTAATATTAAGAATAGCCTCAATAGTGTGACTACTGTCGCTAGTCTCAAACCATAGAGCACCTCGTAACACCGCTGCCCGCCTCGATCATTCCTCAGCAGCATTTCAGATATTCACCAGCCTACTTACCAACGTCCACGCGAACATAGAAACATTGCCCATCAGAATCAGAATACTTATTTATACCGGAGGAATCCGATGAGCTATAAAAGCTCTTTATCACAGATGTCCAGTGGATCAACCCCACCCCCACCAAACAAAAAAAGAAGAATAAGACGACAGGAGGTAGGACCAACATTCAATCACGACCTACTTGGGATGTAGAGATCGGGAGCATTCACGTCAAACTTCGGTGCCACTGGCTCGCCCTTCTGGAACCGAAGGTCCCAGTTCTGCAAAAACGAGAAGCCACTCGGCAGCTCAGCGACTCAACGCGGCATCTTCACCTACGGACTTCATCTTTTTAAAATGGCATTGTCGCGTCCAGACGTTTCAAACTCCGCAGGCGTGTTGGTGTAGACGCAATGTACCTTGAGCTATTCTCTTACACTGCAGTAATATTAGGTAACATTAGGGACAACATCCAGGCCTACAGGTAATAAATTATAGGACATTAGTTGAAAAAAATTGTCCATAATGGGAAACATTTTGGAAGAAGTCCTCATTATTATCTTGACATCTCTAACGCGTGCAAAAGCGTACGAGTCTTGGCACTGCACGACAACGCTGCGAGTCAAAATACAGTAAAACAAATCCAGTGACAAAGACGCCCAAAACAATTCAGAATAATAACTGCAAATTAATATTGTGCACCATAAAAACAAACAAGGAGGCAAAACATTTATCCTTTAATACTCAAGTCAAGCAAAACCTAGGTAACGTGCTCACGGTTAACTTTGTCAGAGGTACACCGCACAACGGCTTCTATGTAAACAATCAGGGGTAAGTCTTACTACATGCACACGCGGGAACACGGATACAAACACGGCACAACACATTATGTACACAGTATACTGATGCAAAGATCTGGATGTACAATGATTGAGCAAGTGTTTGAATTTACATGAGCTTGCACAACCAAAAATCATAACGCGTAAATCTTCTCAAACAATATTAATCAACATACATGTGAAGCCACGTGTCTCCGTCCCCCTCATCCGTGAATAATATTACGGGTCAGAGCATCTGCGATTCCTTCTCGTAATTCACCAATCCCTAAGGATTCGCAGATAAACTTGACAGCGGATGGAACAGACTTCTCATTTGGTGTTATGATGACGTGGCTGTAAAAGAATAGTCTGCATTGAGGAGTGACCTCCGATTAGCACGGTTGGCGATGGACGGTGCAATAGAAGTTCAACATACATGTGAAGCCACGTGTCTCTGTTGTAATTACTGTATACCAATTACTTGACTACACAGCTGCCAACTTATTAATGTTGAAGGGCGAGCATACTTTCACCTCAAATAGCACAGAATTATTTGATTTTTTACAGAAAATGTGATATAATATCCACATTTTTCTATTTCCAGACAAAACTGAATTGAAATAAATGATCATTATGGTTGGTAAGAAAAATGTAATGAAAAGTCATTAACTCTAAACACTAACACAGCTAATAGCTCATTACCTGACTCTGGAGCATCAGACAGAACCACAGAAATCTAAGACTCATCGGTGCCTGAGGCTCTGAGCTGCATTAACTAAATAATAAACGTATGATTATTTGAATGGCATATTGTTACTAATTAGAAAAGCAACATTATAAGTCTCTGATCAAGGCCAACACATTGAATTGACAGAACACATGTTGCTACCTTTGGCACCAAACCCCACGTCACCAAGGAAAACCCAAGCACTGTGATTTACAACCACACCAAGGGGCTCGATCAACTCATGTAGCCAGAATTCTCTGCGAGTCTGTGCCTTGTCAAATTCACAGCCACTTCCGCCCCCCTCCCCTCCCCTCCATTTTGAATTCATCCAAAAATACAACGAACGTTCTGGGAAAAAAAGGGACAGTTGGCGGCCGCGTATTAACGCGGCATATTTATCTTGTGACCTTTACTGTAAGGTTATCGGTGCAATTGTCTCGTCGGAGAGACGTTCATTATCATTAAGTTTTGTTTTTCAAGCAATCGACAGAGAATTGCCATTTTGCTTACCTCGTCGATTTAGTCTAGATTTAGACCCTTGCAATCTTAAGACGAGCCTTTAATTTCCTTCACAGGGTGCTGGAGAGTTCACACCAGATTTGGCAGACACGCTTTAACTCAAGGCCCGCTTTGCATACCTGGAATAAATTGGCAACCAATCTCCAGATAAAGACCGTTCTCTCTCTCTCAATCACGACAAATGGGACACTCTACTTGGAAACTTTGTGAGCATGTTTCTCATCACAGTTTTATCTTAATAAACAGAAATCCACAGCCTATTTTTTTACAGGATTATATTAGTAAATTGCTAACAGAATATGACATGTGCCTTTGTTTACTGTGGTTTGTTTTGGCATGAAACTGGAGCACATGGAGAACACCACAAGGAATAACATTCAAAGGTCCACGCAAATGGGTCCGCGAACCCACTTACTGTCCTGTCATATCCTAACCATTATCAGAGCCCATCAGGTTTGGAACATTTCACAAAATCTGAGATCCACCATTCCCTGCAATTGATTCCAGGCTTGTGCCGTGTACAGCCAAACACAATTTTACACCAATTCTCTTATCCACAAGCCCTCCCCCAATGTCATCAACGGTAATAACAGTGATCATTGGCTACCTACTTTAATAGAAGAGGCGCTCATTAAACAGTGATCAGCTTGTTTATACTTCCTGATATCAGCTGCAAGGTTAATGACCTATTGATAAAATCTCTTTTCATATTTTACAATTCTTTGGCGATAGAAATTACAAATTACAAAGAAAACCCAATTTAAGTTTAATAAACAATGGGTCAATTTGACAAGGTAAATATGTCCACATCACACATTTGTAATGTCTCCAGGATTATTACCATATTCTCCAGATTATAAAATTCACCTTTCCCCCCCTAGTATTTTAAACCAAAAGTTGCGGGTACGTCTCATAACTCGCAGAAAACACGTTTACCAAAGGCACGTTTTAATATTCTTGTTCAGAATCATCTTCCAGAGGGTGGTAGAACACAACACCATTTTGATAGGATTCACCACCAACCATTCAGAATAATCTTCCAGAAGACATCTCTCCCCATTTTAAGTCAGCGTGTTCATAATTACCTTCTGGCAAATGGCTCTTCACAGTTCTGTACCGTCCCAATTAGAAAAAAAAAATCACTTTGTTTCAACATCGGCAATTTAGAATGCGCAGAGTACGGTGAATTGAACAACTGACACCACAATGTACCTTGTGTGTGTAGGGACACAGAAGAACCTTTAACTTATTTTGAACGTACACCGTGTCCACTGCAAAGTAGCATTTTAGTTTGTCGATGGGAAAATATTTGCTGATCTGCAAAAAACAAACAAAAGAGAGACACATTTTACAAGGAAGAAGCATACCGAGTTAATGATTGGTTAGTAAGCAAAGAATAATACATTTTACTACTTGGTTTAAAGGGGGTAGTGGAGGTATAACAAAAACGCTGATCACCCCACCCTTGACCGAGTGGCTCTTGTTTTCAGATCAAGGGATGGATAGCATTATACCTCCACCACACTGCTCAAGCGTGTCTGGGGTCAAAAGCCAGCAACCCTTCAACCCTGCTACTTTCAACTGCTACAAGACTGAGTCTGTGAGCTGCAGTGAACCAATGATTATGCCGATTATGGATATTGTTCACAATTGCACCCAATTAATAGATTCAACTGTATGTCAATTATTGCAGATTATTTGACAAATATATAGGTAAAAGGGCATCAGGACAAATCGTTTCTAAATAAATTATTTAACGTGTTAAGTCTCCATACTAACCAGAGATGTAAGCACGCACTGTGGCTCTTGAGAACATATAACTCAATTACTGCAATGTCTTAAACCACGATTTAGAAATAATACAAAACACGAATATAATTCAAATGTTGAACAAGTAAAAGTTTCTTAATTTTCTGCAATTCCATGGTTGCAACGGCAGCGTGCGACTGCCATCTGATTGCACGAAGAATAAAGCGTCACGTTGCGATGAGGAAGTGAAGGCACCGTCGTCGTCACACGCAAGCACACAGGCAAAAATGCATGGGCAGTCATGTGCAATATCACAGTTAATATAATAACATTAAACAAATAATAATGTATAGCCCTTCGTCAATCCACTGCCGCCTTCAACCCTTTAATGACCCAAGGTTAAATCACCATATTGTAAAATGATGCGATAGGCATTTTCTTTTTTTTCAGTGAGGAATTTTAGATAAGAGTGGAATGAAGGCAGCGCTGTTTTAGACGAAGAATGTGATCGGTCGAGTTTAAAGTGGAGGGCAGGTGACTGCGTTTGGGTGCAAGCCCTTTAGTGCGCACTGCGCACCGCTGCACCTTTCAGATGTTCGCTGTTGTCTTGACGTGACCTTGCAATTACTCAAGTGTACTTGCAAAGAAAAGCTTGTGGGATGTCGTTATGTGAAAAAAATTCTGAAAGGCCTGAGACAACCATTGCAGATTTATTTGCAACTACAACAACACGACAAATAATATTCATGTCAAAAAATTTATGAAGGGCTACGTTCCAATCTTTAATGCTGGTTATATTCACCAGGATTGAAAACCACTGCTTTTCTACACTTGTGGAATGGTTCGTAGTGGAGCCAACGATGGTGAAAGGTTTGCGCCTTAACTGTGGAATCGTTCCGCCAATCGTGCGGAACCACCTCAGTCAAACTCTGGGGGCATGGCTTATGCAGTGGAATGCTTGAGTGGGTATGGGAGCACATTTCATCGTAATCCACGTGCAGACCTGCCGCCTCCGTTTGCCTAAGCGTTCGAAGAGTTGGCTCAGTTTGTGGGCGAGGAGAGTGTGGGGAAATCAGTTCACACCGCCCAGATTGTCCATGGCACGGCCGTAGCCGACAATTGGCTGCGAGGTTTCGTTTTGTGGAATGAACCTCCAACCAAATCCTCACAATCGCTTTTAAGGACCTTCCACCTTGTACCAGAATATTTCAAAAAGCGTGAAACTAAATTAAATATCAATTGTGCCTAATGCATCTTCATAGTCCCCCACTGGGTAATCATTTAAAAACATGGAAAACAATGAAATTAGTTTTAAATCAATCGTCCAAAAGCTACGAATTATAACCAATTCTATATTTCTTGGTTCTTTCGGTAAAATCACACCGGATGATGATTGCTTGTGTTGCAGTCGAAACGTCGTGAGAATTTTATTGTTTAATATTTTTATTATTTTATTGTTTCCCTTCTACGTGACTTTACGAAAGAACCAAGAATATGAATCCCTGCAGTCACGAAAGCTTTAAATCAAAATTTTATTCTAGATTTGTAAATAACTTTCTGGGCTATGTGTTAGGAAGCAGATGGCAGTGTAGCAAAAACCATTTAAGCTCCCTTCCTTCACAAACCCGCACCGACCAGCATGCTGGAGAATGGTCGAATAACTCCCGTGACCCACACGGTGTGAGGAGCAATCGATTGACAAAGGGCTGTACACATCCAGCAATCGATGAGCAAAGGCCTGTACTTGTACACAAGTACACACGCAACTTTCCATTCCGCTAACTGCTCGTTGATTGCGTACTGTCAATATTTTAAAACATTTCCGCAGTCCGCACGGCTCCTTCCGACGCGCATTGCCAACTCACGCCTCTGTCCATGGCCTCCCTGGAGCGGACGGCCAGGTTGGAGCCGTACTTGAGGGCCATGTCAGCCAGGGGGTCACTCCACAGTTCCTGACCCTCCTCGCGCCCTGCCGCGTCATCCTGCCTGCGCTTCCGAAGCTGCTCATGATCCGCTGGCACATGTGGCACCGTGGTTCCCCTGTCAGCGTCCGAGTTCGCGTCTTCGTACTCGTCGGCTGCTACTGACCACCCGGAGAAGGGAGGGGAGCATCGCACATGGCACTTGATTTCACACTTCTGTAATATTCAGTGCCTTAGGGAAAGTGTTCCAAAAATCCTCTTACTGCTCCGGGAAAACGTGAATATGGAGTTTGGTGAACAGACGAAATGTAATTTCATTTGGGTATTTTATAACCAAAAAATTTACGAAAACACGAATTCAGACCTTATTGCCCACCCCGTGCCCTTATGAATCTCAACGTTCATCCTACAAAGTCCCATCACAAAGCAGAAACACAAAGACGTGTTTTTGCCGGTATTTAAACGGCTGTACACCGTATGGACCTGAAGACTCAATTTCCCTGTACAATAATATGGAGTAAACCATATGGGTTGACAGCTGTGCTATACCTATGTATCTCTATGGGTCTCTGTGGGTATCTATTTATCTCTATGGGTCTCTATCTTTCTCTATGGGTCTCTATCTATTTATATGGGTCTCCATGTATCTCTATGGGTCTCCATGTATCTCTATGGGTCTCCATGTATCTCTATGGGTCTCCATGTATCTCTATGGGTCTCCATGTATCTCTATGGGTCTCTGTCTATAATCAAACCTGTCAACCCCTTATCAGTGCCCGACCTTATTAAAGACCAATTCCGACCTCATTGATCACCCAGTGCCGTTATAAATCTCAACGTTCATCCTACAAAGTCCCATCACAAGGGAGAAACACAAACAAATAGACAAAAACATGTTGTGCCCTTAATGAAACGGCTGTATGTGTCCCTGTACAAGAATACGGGGTATATATAAATATACCGTACGGGTTTGACAGGCATGCTATTAACAATAAAACATTCGCCACGTTGTGGAGAATGTCACATAATGTCCACGTGCACGTCCCGACCGCACGCGGACAACGCGTGCACGTGTACAGTAGGCCAACGTGCAGTGCGTACAGTATGCGGCGTGCATACTGTACGTACAGTAAGCTCCCCGTGCGTACAGTACGCACAATAAGTACAGTAGCACGTTGTCTGCGTGGACTCGAGCTGCACCTAGCCTGGCACAAAGCGCCGTGGTCGGCCGCCGCTGTGGTTCTCGCACTTGCCGGAGGCCCCGAGTTCGATTCCCACTCAATAACCCGAGAGCAGTGACGGATATCAAATACAGTAGCGGTGGGCTTCCCTTAGGTCGACTCGGCCTCAAATGTCAACGTTGGAGATGCAAAGGCGGCCGGGTGTGGCGCTGGTTCAGAGCAAAGCCGCGACCACCCCGTTTCGTGTGCCGTGCCGGCAATCAAGAGGGGTGAAGCTCGCTCACAGCACTCGAATCTACAGTCCCTCTACAATTAGACAGCATACACACAACAACAGTCTACACAACAACAGTATACACACAACAACAGTCTACACAATAAGTCTACACAGCAACAGTCTACACACAACAAGTCTACACACAACAAGTCTACACACAACAAGTCTACACACAAGTCTACACACACAACAGTCTACACAACATTCTACACACAACAGTCTACACAGCAACAGTCTACACACAAGTCTACACACAACAACAGTCTACACAACAACAACAGTCTACACAACATTCTACACACAACAGTCTACACAGCAACTGTCTACACAGCAACAAGTCTACACAAACAAGTCTACACAACAACAGTCTACACACACAACAGTCTACACAACAACAACAATCTACACAACAACAGTCTACACACAACAGTCTACACACAACAGTCTACACACACAACAGTCTACACAGCAACAGTCCACACACCAACAGTCCACACACCAACAGTCCACACACAACAGTCCACACACAACAGTCCACACACAACAGTCCACACACAACAGTCCACACACAACAGTCTACACACAACTACAGTCTACACAACAACCACAGTCTACACAACAACCACAGTCTACACAACAACCACAGTCTACACACACAACAGTCTACACACAACAGTCTACACAACAATCTACACACAACAACAGTCTACACACAACAACAGTCTACACACAACAGTCTACACAACAACAACCGTCTATACAACAACAGTCTACACAACAACAACAGTCTACACACAACAGTCTACACACAACAAGTCTACACAACAAGTCTACACAACAACAACAGTCTACACACAACAGTCTACACAACAAGTCTACACAACAACAACAGTCTACACAACAACAGTCTACACAACAACAGTAACAACAGTCTACACAACAACAACAGTCTACAACAAGAGGGGTGTACAGTATATGAATGCTTGTGCGTCTGCGTTACTCACGACGGTCGTGCGTTAGAGGCTGAGATCGATTGTCCATCGCGATTAGGGCGAGTGTGGTGATGATGATGATGAGGTGGGTTGACGAGTGGTGATAACGAGTGTGATGATGATAACGAGTGTGATGATGATGATGGTAACGAGTGTGATGATGATGATAACGAGTGGTGATAACGAGTGTGATGATGATGATGACTGTGATGATGATGATGATGACGAGTGGTGATAACGAGTGTGATGATGATGACGAGTGTGATGATGATGACGACGAGTGTGATGATGATGAGTGTGATGATGATGATGACGAGTGTGGTGATAACGAGTGTGGTGGTGCTAACGAGTGTGATTATGATGATGATAACGAGTGTGATGATGATGACGAGTGGTGATAACGAGTGTGATGATGGTGATGACGAGTGGTGATAACGAGTGTGATGATGATGACGAGTGTGGTGGTGATGATGATAAAGAGAGGTGGGAGCGTGTGAGGAGGTTCAGTGCATTGGGAATCGAAAACGACGATTCGAAAAAATGTGAGATCCTAGAGGGAGTCGAATCTATTTAAGCGTGATCGATGCTGAAATCGATGATTGGCTAATTCGATTCTAGCGTCGATGCTTGATGTCGAGAATCAATTATTTTTGTAGTCCCGTTAGTACTGCCTCGTCTGCAGTCTCGTATCATTGTATATACTGTTCTGTTTAATTTGTACTGTCTGTTCTGTATGTATCATACACTGTCTCATTTGTACTGTCTCGTCTGTACTGTATTATCTGTACTGTCTCGTCTGTACTGTATGTCTCGTCTGTACTGTATAATCTGTACTGTCTGTCTCGTCTGTACTGTTTTATCTGTACTGTCTGTCTCGTCTGTACTGTATTACCTGTACTGTCTCGTCTGTACTGTACTGTCTCGTCTGTACTGTATTATCTGTACTGTCTGTCGCGTCTGTACTGTCTATCTCGTCTGTACTGTATTATCTGTACTGTCTCGTCTGTACTGTATTATCTGTACTGTCTCGTCTGTACTGTATTACCTGTACTGTCCCGTCTGTCTCGTCTGTACTGTATTATCTGTACTGTCTGTCTCGTCTGTACTGTATTATCTGTACTGTCTGTCTCGTCTGTACTGTATTATCTGTACTGTCTGTCTCGTCTGTACTGTATTATCTGTACTGTCTGTCTCGTCTGTACTGTCTATCTCGTCTGTACTGTATTATTTGTGCTGTCTGTTCTGTATGTATCATACTCTGTCTCATTTGTACTGTCTCGTCTGTACTGTGTTATCTGTACTGTCTGTCGCGTCTGTACTGTGTTATCTGTACTGTCTGTCGCGTCTGTACTGTATTATCTGTACTGTCTGTCTCATCTGTACTGTATTATCTGTACTGTCTATTCTGTATGTATCATACACTGTATTATCTGTACTGTCTCGTCTGTACTGTATTATCTGTACTGTCTCGTCTGTACTGTATTATCTGTACTGTCTCGTTTGTACTGTATTATCTGTACTGTCTGTCTCGTTTGTACTGTATTATCTGTACTGTCTTCTGTACTGTCTATCTCGTCTGTACTGTATTATCTGTGCTGTCTGTTCTGTATGTATCATACACTGCCTCGTCTGTACTGTATTATCTGTACTGTCTCATTTGTAGTCTCGTCTGTACTGTATTATTTGTACTGTGCTGTATTACCTGTACTGTCTCGTCTGTACTATACTGTCTGTCTCGTCTACTGTATTATCTGTACTGTCTGTTCTGCATGTATCATATACTGTCTCATTTGTACTGTGTCGTCTGTACTGTATTATCTGTACTGTATTATCTGTAGTCTTCTCGTATGTACTGTATTATCTGTACTGTATGTCTCGTCTGTGCTGTATTATCTATACTGTACGTCTCGTCTGTACTGTATTATCTGTACTGTCTGTCTCGTCTGTACTATATTATATGTACTGTATATCTCGTCTGTACTGTCTCGTCTGTACTGTATTATCTGTACTGTCTGTCTCGTCTGTACTGTATTTGTACTGTCTGTCTTGTCTGTATTGTATTATCTGTACTGTATGTCTCGTCTGTACTGTATAAGCTGTACTGTCTTCTCGTCTGTACTGTATTATCTGTACTGTATGTCTCGTATGTACTGTATTATCTATACTGTTATGTGTACTGTCCGTCTCGTATATACTGTATTATATGTACTGTATATCTCGTCTGTACTATATTATCTATACTGTATGTCTCGTCTACTGTCTGTCTTGTCCATACTGTATTATCTGTACTGTCTGTCTCGTCTGTACTGTATTATCTGTACTGTCTCGTCTGTACTGTCTCGTCTACTGTACTGTCTCGTCTGTACTGTATTATCTGTAGTCTGTCCTGTTTTGTCTCTGTACTGTCTCGTCTATACTGTGTGATCTGTACTGTTCTGTATTACCTGTACTGTATTATCTGTACTGTTCTGCCTGCACTGTATTATCTGTACTGTCTGTCCTGCCTGCACTGTAGTATCTGTACTGTCTGTACTGTCTTATCTGTACTGTTTTTTCTCGTCTGTACTGTTTTATCTGTACTCTGTCTCTGTACTGTATCATCTGTACAGTGTCTCATCAGCTACGTCTCATGTTCTGTTTAATAAGCACTGCTTCATATGTACTCTTTCGTCTGTACCTGACTGTGCCCCCCTTCGTGCTGTGTGCACTGTTCCATCTCATGTCTTTCCTGTCCCACTTTCATCTTCACACATCGTCTCATTGGTGCCGTAGTACTGGCAGGAACCTCCTGGTTACACCACCAGCCCACAGGGGATTATTGTGTCCGCCCGTCCGTCGTGCATCCACAAATGGGAGGGGTGGGGCTGGGTGGAGAGGGGAGGGTGGGGAGGGAGGGGCTGGGTGGGGAGGGAGGGGCTGGGTGGGGAGGGGAGGATGGGGAGGGGCTGGGTGGTTAGGGTGGGGCTGGGTGGGGAGGGGTGGGGCTGAGTGGGGGGTGGGAGGGGGAGGGCCTGGGTGGGGAGGGGGGGGCTGGGTGGGGAGGGTGGGGCTGGATGGGGAGGGGCTGGTCACCCCGTGGTGCCCTTATAAAACTCAACGTTTAACCTACTCACGCCGGCTTGTGCCCGCCCTCACAGTCGGGCATATTTGTGGAATACACCACACCGCCGTTGACCCTGGCCATTGACCTACCAGCTCCCTCCTCTCTGTCCTGCAGCGTTTGCCCCATCTGTATAATTTGTACTGCCTGAATGTGCACTCGTTATAACAATTATGCCTTAGAGAAACAAAACGTGTACGATTAGAGATTTTTTTTAAAAACATGAACATGCACGATTCGGTGTACATAACAGCACGTGACTGTCAGATTAAGAATTGTCGAATCGCTGAATCACCGCGTGTCGAGAATTCAGTGATGATTTGGGTCTGTGTAGCAATTGGGCATTGACCGGACATTCATAAAGGGGCCCCTACAGCCGTGCCTAATAAGAACTAATGGATTACATTAATCTTATGTTATCAATCTAGATGAAACAAAACGGCCCTTACTCATTTCACGGGGCCCTCCTGATTCGTGTCTTAATAACAAAAAAACATTTTCTCCTGAGTTCAGCAATAAAAGCCACGTCTCTATTTCTCCAAAACATTGTGTCCAAAGCCTAGGTGGGGATAAGAATAAAAAAGCCATACGGAAGCCAGACACTGCTTTGCAATTAACCTTTGTTGGCTATTTGAGACTGCGCGGAAGGCGTCATACAAACAAATGTAAATTATTATTCCTTTGGCTCATTGAGCCACAGCACACTAATCATAACGTAACATCCCTGTTTTCTCCTTCAACTATTTAAAAGCAAATAGACTGTCAGAGCAGACTCTGGAGGGCAGAGATACTGTCCCATGGACCACAGTCATTCGCCGGCATCATTTGGTGACCCCTGGCTCATTTATTTGACGTGCACGGAGCATTAACACCCGAATTAAGTCACCCGGTATCTATAAGCATGAACCCTTGAAGAATTAAGTTGCAACACTGTACGGTTAGGTCACAGATGTCAAAGTGCTTCGATTGCATCTGCGAGGTTTGCACCACTGCCATCACATACAAACACACGTCACTCAAACATGATTACTATTTGTCATCAGCAGCCATGATCAATCCACTGCTGAATGATGGCCTTTCCAAGCTGCTGCTATCTCTTGTGGTTCTACAATTCAACGATTCCCATCACTTTTCTTGACAATGACATTTTAAAATAACCTGGCTATCTTCTCAAATCCACGTTCTCCACTTTCTATCAACGTAACTTCAAGCATGAGCAACTTCTTTGTGCTTATTTCCATGTCTGTTCCATTTTACTCATTGATGTCGAAGTTTCTGATTGCATGTCGTGGCAGGCCAAATGCACTTAATAGGCGTGTTTTTCCTTTGGCACATTGCGATCAAGTTTTAGCTCTGCGAGAACACTCCAAGTGACCTTGTTATGGCAATGAACGCGTACATTTGGGAACACCTTTTGATCAACTGCAATCTACTGATAGTTCTTAGTCACAGTACATATAAATCAATCGGTCCATCTGTTCATCCACATCTCGGCGCGCTGTGAATTGCTAAAACGAGGTAATGTTGATCTCGACCCGGAGACAATAACGATGACATCTGCTAAACTGTGGATTTTATCGGATTATTGTCACATTACTGCGAAGGGGCCCGCAGGGTCGGTTGGGGCCATGGAAAGGCGCAGATGTAGTCTTGGGTAGAATTCAACTAAAAAGCCAGTCACAATACGGCGGGAGTCGAAAGTTAATACATTAAAACAAAATGTAAGCACATTCAAATATATTTCATCACTTCTATGAAAAAGGGTGAATAAGGTCAAGGGAGGCTTATCTCAGTCAATGGCGATGCATTAAGTTGCATGCTTTTATGTCTCTATATTGATTCTGAAACCGTCCTGCCTATGGTTATTTGTAAATGTTATTGGGGTTTTTTTGTATTTGTTCTAACACAAAGACGACAAGGTGGAGCGGTGGTGCGGTGGTTAGCTCACTGTGCTACTAACCCGGTCATGGCCATTAATCGTGGCGCGTTATTTCCGAGCTTGTCCGAGTTGCATCCTTCACCAGTCTGCACCGACCGGCGTGGTGAAGTATGGTCAGACAATCCTC